GGGGGGGGGGGGCAACCTCGTTTCCAGACTCAGTTCTTGTGGAGGGAAGACCCTGGTAGGATCAGGTCACGTGATCTGCAGCATATTTCTAATTAGCTATCTTGGATTCCGTTTAAAACGAAATCAAATTAAACTTGCAAAACAAAATGCAAGTTACAAAATAAAGTATAAATATCAAATATTTATCAACATCCGTTTCATCCTTTAATTGCAATGCGTTTCTCAGAGTAGGCGTGGTGTCACCGCGTTTAGAATTTTATGCATAAACATTGATTTTAAATTGCTGCGTCTCAAGCTACGTTTACACGCTGCGATCTGTCGTGTACTGGCGTCTTCTGGCGTATGGAATTTACTGCTGACCTCACACTTCTCCTCATCCAGATTATGGCGAAATTTGAAATACAACCACTTTACGCGTCTTTATTCGATTACATACACTAGAATACGAATCGTACACAACAAATCGCAAACGTATGCCTTTACTTCTATGAGTTTACAGTGAACGTTTTCGAGCAGATCAGCAAATCAACTGTCGAGTATAGATTGCCCCATATGGATTGCCCCCAAAATTACTCCTGCGCATGCTTTAAATTTCATGTATAAAGAAACTATCTATCTATCTAGTATATTCAACACTGAATGTTAACATTAATCAGGAATACAAGATGGAATTTCTCCTGTAATTAAGTACCTACCAGACATTTTGAATTCCTTCGTTGGTGGGTTTTTAAACCTCCCTCACCCACACACCCACGCAGGTCCTAAAACAAAGAGAAACCATACATGAGTCGAGCAATGGAGTTGTTTCAAAACCTGATTGAGAAATCATTATTCATAGTTCCAAGCAAACACAGTGTGCTAATAATAAAAAATAGTTTAATAAGAATTGGGAAATAGTTAATCTATGTGCAGTGAAAATTCAGGAGCTTTATAACAACTTACTTGCCACAAATGGCACACGTTACGCTTCTAAAGGGAAAAGAAATATAAATTAAACAAATATATATATTAAGTTTCACTTATACATTTATATCACAATAATTTATTAAACCAGTACAATATCGTATCCCGAAGCTGTAATCCTTTATGGAGGGTTAATTGGTTAGGCTATGAAACACACAAAGATTCTCTCCACCATAGAGTATGCTGGTGATAATGGTGTTGTCATCCTGTCACTCCCTCCACACACCTACCATCCTGGCCGCAGAGTCACTGTGGACAAGCTTGGGGAGCTGTTCAATGCTGCCTATTTGTCTGGATTCCGATGCACTGGCATTGTCCCATTCAACAAAGAAATTTTGCCCTCATCTGATTTTCAAAATAGAGGACCCCCGTGTTATTTATTGATCCACCATCGGATGAGACCTTGTCTTCCCTTGATAACACAGCTAAGCAGAGCCCAAGCGATGATGACGCATCATCTTCAACGTGACAAAAATTCTAAAATGAAGGAAAATACAAAGTCAAAGATATTACTAAAACTACTGAAGGCAAAATTAAATCAAAACTGATATATACGATTTAGCAGTAAAATTTCGAATAAAATCGGTTACAAAAACAGCAGACCGCCGATGACGATGTGGAATTCTCTAAATTCCTCTTTCAAATTCAACACATATATATACAAGCCTGCACTGAGGCTCAAAAGTCAAACCGACAAAGAAACAATTCTGATTCGTTGAAGTTGTCAAACGTGGAAAACATTTTGCAATGCAAATTGTTGGAGAATGTAGGGCGGTTTAAATAGACTTTAGAAATTCACCTTATTGTCATAATTTGAATGCCTACAAGTGCTACACTGAACCCGAGGTGCGTAACACAATTGAATCGAATTTTATGCATGGTTATTTAAAACTTTTTGGTTCCTTACTTCCTTCAATATATGATTAAGTGCTGAATAATTTAACAAATAATTTAACACAATACGTATAAAACAGCGAAACCACGTTGCTCCGGGCTTAGTTGAAGCATTTTTACTCGAACTGGTAGTACGAAGAATTCGAAAATTTGAAGACGGCAAACCGTTAACTGGCCTGCTCAATTCTACACGAGTGAACGAGCTGATTTGGTACGTGAACAACTTTTCTGTCGCTTATCTTAAACATGTATTTATATTCTGAAAGCTTTCGGATTAAGTGCGATTCAACGGCCCTGAAAAATACAAGCAATACGTTTCGAGGGAAGGCCTCTGAGCGAAGGCTGATCGAAGATTTTTGCTCGAAGTTGAATCCTTCGCAATCGGTATCTTTCTAGTGTTTTATAGTGTCCCTACTTACGCTACATTTGCACAGACGATTCGTATTATTGTGTTAACAAATATATTTTAATTCTTTTTCATATAGACCACAACTACAAGTCAAGCTGTTGCAGCGCTATCTGGCGATGAAACGATTGATGACTGTTCTTCATATCCGCCATCGAACAAACGAGACGCAAATAATTTATCCTGCCATTGCATTCCTCGTCGTTTTTTATTCAGAAGGCGGCGAATGCTACGAAGAGCTTGGTGAAATGGCTCAATGTCTGGAAAGTCTCGCCCAATCATCGAAACCTGCTGAGCAACAATATTTTCCCGCAACACAAGTTCATGTTGCCGTCGACGCTCCGTTTGGTCGACCATTGTTACAGCGAGGAAAAAGTTTGAAGAAGACGACTGAAGTAGGCTACTTCGCTTCGAGGCGGTCCTTTGCCATGCACAGACGGGACTGAAAAGTTTTGAAGATTTCTGGGCGTCCTTTGTACTGTACAAGGTAAAACATTATTTTTAGTGTACTTTAATGCTTTCGTTATACTGTTTCATGAGTCTGATGGAAGGTGAATCTATATCTGTGTTAAGTTTGGGGCAATATATTCTGTATACTAGTTAAAAAGATTGAGTTGCCCGCAGTACTTTGCGACTGAGCTTAATATTAAAAAGGTATATTGTATATTGACCAGGAATTACTTCGTACGAACTAAATCGATCGGGATGGTAGAAAATATAGAAACAAATGAACAGTTAAGGTAGCATGTATTGCTAGACAAGATTCCTAGTCGGGATCATGTAGGACGCCGATACTTGGAAGGTACTCTGCCTACTCTGTCTCTGTCATTTACGTGCAAGCTCTACACTGTGTAACTGATAATCTCCTTGTATTTTTATCCCAACCAATCCTCATTCTTTGGCGCACCCACACTTGGCACAGAGTCTGTTCAAGATTAAAAATATTATATATTGTTTTAAAAATGTGTTGTTTTTTACTTTTTCATAGGGAGATGTGTATGTAAAACCTTTGTTACATTGATGAATGTCGAAAGTTGTAAAACTTTTGCTGATAAACGACGCCATTTGTGGAGAAGTTCTGAAAAGTACAGCAGTTTGCAGCGTATTCCTTCCCACGATGTATACAGTACGTGCAGCAGAGTTTGACTTGGATGTTATTGAGGTGCCGCAGGAATACGCGAGTTGGTGAACTGGAAAACTTACTTCAATATCGCAAAGAGGATTCCATGACAAGACTGTACATGCATTTGTGTCAGGAAACTGAGATTTCAAGTGTTCTCCTCTGTGACCAATGCCTGGCCTTCGTTGCCTGAATGGGCTTCTGTTATTAATGGAAACATTGAATGGCAAATGATGGTACGAATACACACCAGGTAATAATTGACGGCGTTGCGTTGTTCACTTATTTTTCACTATTGCATGAAGTATCCATTTCCTAAAGTTAAACGATTTTTTCAGTTCATTAGAACTTAAACTGTTGTATTGAAATCCTTCTTATGTAAGATATAAAATAATACATTATCCCTTTTGTTGTTGTTGCGCGTTTCTACAGGGCATGATTTTAATATACTTTTCTGTTTTATTTCTCGAACCGACTTGACCTTGTAGTTCAGTTGGCAGACTCCACGATTGGACTAGTTAGTATCCCAAAGGTCACAGGTTCGATTCCCACCGTGGTCAGGTAAACTTTTCAGCCTGCCCGGTGTGGACATACACTCGGGATAGCGTCACAAACATATTCACCTGAGTACGCAACATAAAAAAGGCGCACAAAATATATTGTGAACTACTAAAGTAAAGCGAATTAGCTATGTCCGTCTTTAAGTGAAAATGAAAGGAAAAGTATCTGGTCAATTTAATAAAAGTCTCTTCGTTATTTCCAGATTACGTTCCATCAATGCTTACGACCTGGCTCCAAAGATGACCACTGTGATTGCAATTCTTCTGATGTCACCAGATAAAACTGACTACAACTGACCGCTTTCTTCAACAACGGAGTCGTCAACGTCGCAAGCTATATACTCCAACATCGATGTCATCGTCAATGGGTGATAAAGCAAGACGCATTAAAGACAGATATCAATGTTCCCTTGGGCAAGTTTTTAGTTATTCTTCATTTCTGTTTACATATATATATATATATATATATATATATATATATATATATATATATATAAGCCTATATGTGTGTCATGGTGTGTGTTTGTGTATTTGTAAACTGCTAAGTACGTGGTCAGTTTCAGATGTAGTGCTTTATTTCAAAATTGCAATTTTACGTCAGCATCTCATTTCGGTTTACCATTTACGCCAAAATGTTTCTAAGGCTTTTGTTTGAAATTTTCGTCCATGAAAACCCTATAACATTGTGCCAGCATGTTGCTTTTTGTTTTTGAATATGGATTAATTGTAATGATATACTAGAAATACATGCATGCCTGCAACATCTCGCCTTTCCTAATGAATGCATCTTTTACAATTTTTTATTTTTTTGTGCAAAACGGCAAAAAATAAACTTTAACACTTTTAACTATAGAACCATCAATTTCTAAAATTTAAAGTACGTATATGTTATTTCATACTCTATAATCTTCAATTTAAGGTAAAATTCAACCTTACACTTGAAATATGAAATGTTCATTCAGGTTTATAACATATGCAGTTTCACATTCGTTTGGCTTTTTGCCGATTTAGCTTTTTATTAGTTGCAACGGAATCCGTTCAAATTGTACAGTTCGCTCTTCGAAAGTCTAATGATAATCTCCTCATCTTTATTCTTTTGAGTTTCTTTTGGTTGCTTTGTTTCACTTTCATATAGGCCTAGCTGCTGTTCCTAAACAAAAATATACTTCCAAGATAAGTTGATATTTCTATTGAATTAAAATGAAAACATTCCATCGCCTCACCTCCTTATCTTCGTGGTTTCCGAGCAACGATGCTTGGCTACTTGCCAGATTTTTCAAGAAATACAAGAATTTACTCTTCCACGCAGAATGGGTCAGACATCCTGTCATATCGTTTCTCATTGAATATTGGCCCTGGTCATTACCTCGGGATCATTTGTGTCTTTCGCCTCCTCAATCCTCATGCTTATTGAAAATTAAAATATCACTGCCAAAGTGAAGACAATATTTATATATGTTAACATCCCTCCCCAACTCCATCAGAGACAAACGACTTGCATCATTGCAAATATCGTCTATTTCGTCATCTAAAATATAAATGGCCGACGTTCAAGGGGGTGAATTCCTTCCCTCATCATTGCGAATCATGGCATGGCAGTAGTACCGCTTTTTTAGCTGACTTTGGTTTCCGTAAGGTCTATTCTGGAATATATTTCAGTAAGGTGTGCTATATCGACAATAGTTAATAGAGGGTTTTTCTTCACCCGTTTATGGCAAATTTTAAGGCTACTTTGCAGTGACAATTCGGTGTTGAATTCCTTGATAATCCATATGAGCTTTGAATTTTCGGTGGAAATGAATTGAGGTCCATTATCAGACGTCACGGGAAACCATTTCTAAAGAATATTTCTTAGAATGCTTTTTTACAAAACATTAAACGAGTTCGGCAACTTAAGGTCTATACATGATTATACAACTTCCTTTAAAATTTTCCAACACTCATCTTTTCATCGAAATGTTTTTCAAAACTAATCCGTACGGTTATCCGAAGGTTACGTTACTCTTGCATGCTTTAACTTTCATGTATAAACAAACTATCTGGTATATTAAATTGAAGAGCGAAACGTATCCCTCCCCTGTTTGACATTGGAGGGGATTGGTCCTTTTTGTCTTCACAAGCTTCCTACGCTCCTGATGAAACTACATTCAAGCCCTGCATGGTCGAATTGAAGAAAAGAAAACGCATACTTTGAATGGGGCCTTGTCTTGTCTGGTGGACCGATAGCTCTTGTTTTTTCGCGAACGTTTTTTAAAATGAATGAAAAAATGTTAAAAGTATTCCAATATCGTATATGCCGTTATACTCTATTAAGACCCATACGAGGCACTCTTTCGTTACAATTATGTACACAAGCGAGATTCAAATTCTGAACCTAGTCAAGTGTTGAAGGATTTGCAACCGATGTGACCAGACTGAGGCTCTTCCTTCTCGTTTGTTTCGCCTCGCAAAGAGCCTCTGGAACCAGGGTAGCTGCTAGATACCGCGCGGGAATAATTTGCGTATATATGTAGAAATTGCAAGTTATGAACATTTTCAAATAATTGTTCATAAAAAGGCCAAGATTTTGTATCTCATGAAAAGAAAATTATTGAAATTAACTTGTTCATTGCTATCCATATGCATAATTAATTGCATATAATAATAATAATAATAATAATAAATATAACTAACGAATAATGCATGAATTGAATATATAAACCTGGTATTTTAACTATTTACAATATTAAAAAAATATTGAAAGAAAACAAATATTACAATTAGTATTACATAGAGAAAAATTATCGTTTTTCAAAAGACTGTCCTTTACATAATAAACATGCATGCAGAAATTTTTTGAAAACAGAAAATTAAACTAACAATAATATGTATATAAAATCCTAATTCCTAATACCTATTTACAACAAAAATATATAAGGGAGCATTCATTTTTTAGCTGGGGGGGAGGGGGGCCGGAGGAACTGAAGTCTAATTCCATGCTAAAACTTGGAACCCCCGAGAGAAAAGTTGATAAAAAATTATGACCCCCATTTTTTTTACTGAAAATTTTTTTGACCCCTCCTAACTATTATTAATCCACACGGTGTCATTTCCGTAGTGTTTCAGGGCTGTAGGAAGCTCTTTATGATTGGGGGCTGAAAGCGAGGGCAAAAGGCCCTAGGAAATTTTTAAATCTAGAGTCTCTGAAATGCCATTTCCTGGACTTTGGGAAAGATTTTGACAGAATTCTGATGGTCAGAAAATAGCGTTTTAGTATGTCGAAATTTACAATTTAGTATAGTACTAAATGGGCGAAGGCATATTGGATAACAAGGATAAGTTGCAGGAAACTGTGGGTAATATCTTCATTCTTTGCAGTTTGTCATGGATAATGTGCTGCTTAAAATTAATAAAGCTTAAAATTGATAAAGGTCTGCATTTTATTTTGTAAAAAGAATGATTATTAGCAAATTCCCCCAGCCCTCCCCCCCCCCCCCCCCGTTGCTACGGCCCTGCGTTTTCATTCATGCTTTCACACAAAAACGGATAAAAACAAGGTCAAGGAAATGTTTTCCTATGGACTGGTGAACAGAGCATCAAACGAATTTCTAGTTGCTTCTGTGTTAAAGATGACGAGATAGTTCATAGATTCTAGACCTTTCTACCATTCGCCTTTCTTTTCTTTTTTTTTCTGACGGTGGCCCCGCAATTGGGCTCACCGCCAGAGTTGCTAGGGTAGATGTATCCCTGTAGGCAGGTGTTGATTGGAGTGGCATTACTTCATATGTTTCAAGTTCATCAGTATCAGTAGTCACAGACACAGATAAACGAGGGTTTTCTGAGCTGGCTCCACTCCTCCTCGCTGCTGTTGTTATTGCTGCTGTTGTTGTTGTTGTTGTTGCTGTTGCTGTTGTTGTTGTTGTTGTTGTTGTTGTTGTTGTTGTTGTTGTTGCAGTCGCTCGCTTCTTCTTGACCGCCCAGTGACAGGATGCCACTACCAACGGTGGCTGTTAAGTCCATTTCACTCGTCTCGTCCAATTTCCCGATTGACATTGACTAGGGGATTGGTCTCCCTCACGCTTCCTATATATACGCTCCTGATGAAACTACATTCAAACCCATGATCGAATTGAGGAAACTAGAAAACACATACTTTGCCTCATGTGTTCTTCTCACGTGGAGGTCCACTCCTCGTTTGGCCGTAAACGTGCTGTTATACTCCTCTTTTTGTCGTAAATAATGATGTTCATAAGCTTAGCAGAAAATGTTTCTGAGGTGGAACAAATCTTTTTTGAAGAGTCTGGCTTTTTCCGATTGACATTGGAGAGGGATTAGTCCTTTTGTCTCCCCAAGCTTCCTATACGCTTCTGATGAAACTACATTCAAACCCATGATCGAATTAAGTAAACTAGAAAACACATTTCCTTTCTGAGTTTTTGTGGCATGCATCACTGCACCTCTATTTGTTGTAAACGTCTTTAAAATGAATGAAAAAATGTTAAAAGTATTGCAATATCCTATATAGAACACATCGATGTAGTGTAAATACACGCTTCTATAGCACCTATATACCGACTATAGATGATATATGCCGTCGAGTATGCCGTTATAGTACAATAGCACGGAGACAGGTTTATATAAATCAGGATGTTCATGAAACTACATTCAAACCCGTAATCGAATTGAGGAAACTAGAAAACACATACTTTGCCTCATGTGTTCTTCTGACGTGCTGTCCTACTCCTCTTTTTGTCGTAAACGTCTTTAAAATGAATGAAAAAATGTTAAAAGTATTGCAATATGTATAGAACACATCAATGTAGTGTAAATACAAGCTTCTATAGCACCTATATACCGACTATAGATGATGATATATGCCGTTATAGTACAATAGCACGGAGACAGGTTTATATAAATCATAATATTCATAAGCTTAGCAGAAACAGATCTTTTTTGAAGAGCGAAACATATTTCGCCTTTCCCGATTGACATTGAGTAGGGGATTGGTCTCCCTCACGCTTCCTATATATATACGCTCCTGATGAAACTACATTCAAACCCATGATCGAATTGAGGAAACTAGAAAACACATACTTTGAATGGACCCATCTGATGTGGAGGGCCACTCCTTGGCTGCTTCTAAATGTCTTTAAAATGAATGAAAAAAATGTCAAAAGTATTGCAATATTGTATAGAACACATCAATGTAGTGTAAATACACGCTTCTATAGCA